TTCGATGACCTTTCAGAGCACGGGTTTTTGGCAACGTAAAATGGCGCCTTGTCGGCTTCACCTGAATGGAGGTGGTTGCGGGTCCAGTTTAATTATACGTCCGTGGCGCGCGCAAAGCACTTGGAGCACCGTCGAACTATTTTGCTGCTCTTTTCCAGGAGGTTGCATGCTCATGGATGTAGTCATGTCAGATGATGCACAACTTTTGGACGTTTCGTTGCCATCATATAATTTATCAAAATACTGCCATGCATACTCATGATCAGAGCCCAAAAAGCATTCCCCATTATGCTGCCCCACCCTGTATATGAGTCTTTAAATAGCTACCTCGCCTACCAATGTACACCGCCAACGCCCCATTTTCCAGAATTAGGAGAGTCGATGGCAGACGAAAAACAAAGAACAACGGCACTTTTATAACCATTAACCAGTCGTTTGGACAATCAACTACCAACGTGACATTCTTATAGACATTGTTATAGAGTAGACTGTGGCATTATTATTATAGCCATAAGCCAGCTAACAAGCGCAGCCTTTTCCCGGTCGTGTCGCTCGCTCCGTAGACATACCGGCTACGTCAGCTCGTGTATCGTTAGTCGCAGTTTAGCGTCGTCTGGCCATCGGCAGTCGGTCGGCGTCCCGGCTCATCCCAACTCGGCGCGCGCCGCGCGGCGGCTCCATTAGTCGACTGACGCGCCGCCAGATAGGAGCCAGCGTCCGGCTGCGATGAACGCCACCGTCGACAACTGCGTGCTGCAGATGCCGCAGCTGCGCTGCCAGCGGCTGGCCGTCTCCACGGCCGCCGGCGCCAACACCTCCCGGCTGGTGTGCGCCGCCAGCGACGGCCAGGAGCGCGCCACAGACATGTACGCCGCCCTGGTGGCGCTCTCGGTGCTGATCGTGCCGGCGGCCGCGCTGCTCAACCTGGCCGTGGTGGTGACCGTCTACATGAACCGGCGGCTGCACACCGTCATCAACGTGCTCGTCACCGTGCTCTGCATGAACAATGTCATGTGGACCGGCATACCCATCATCTTGGTGAGCTTCCCGAACCTCCGACACCCAGTGGCGTGCAACAGCTTCCTGTTCATCTTCGTCGTCAGCAGGTCAGTAATGTTCGCCTGTATCGTGATGATCACTCTCCTGAGGTACTTCACCGTCGTCAAAAACCACCACTTTCCGCCCAACAAGTACAACATTGCTTTCTTCGTGGCAGCTACCCTGGCTGTTGGAGTGACCAAATGGGTACTCCAAACCTTATTCAAAGAACTGAGGTGCCAAAAAGAGATTGCTTGGACACCGGACAATTTTGTGATAGTGGAAAAACTAGACGAGTCGACCGAGGTGGCTCCGGCTACAGTCGTTCTATTTGCAGTCGAGTACGGCTGCGGCATTGGTATTTTGATTTTCTGCTATGTGAAAATTTTAAAGAAAACCGCTAAATCGCGTGAACGACTGGATCAGTTCAGAAATGGTCAACCTCCTGGACAGGAAACAAAACACCACGGCACGACCGGAGCTAAACTAGAGGGCGAGGCGCAGAAAGGCAGCAATTCGACACTGGAGCAGAAAACATCCGGCAGTCTCAGTCTGCCGGTTTTAGGCGGTCTCGACCAGCCCTCCACCTCTGCCCAGCGTCCGCTGGCAGTCATTGTCTCCGGGCGAGACGGCGGCTCTCCGCTCCGACCGCCAGCTCAGTCGCGCCAGATCGCCTCCCCAGCGGCACTGCCCGAGATCGAGCCAGACACGCTCAAGAGGAGCGTCCGCGCGCTGCGCTTCCGTCAGAGATCCACTACGTCCTCCCACTCGTCATTCGAGCTGTCGGCGCTGAAGCCGGCCGCACCGACAGCAGCAGCACCGGCGGCTGCAGCGGCGTCAACAGAGCTTCATCAGCCAGCGGCGGACCGTCCCTCCCCGCCACCGCTGCGGCGAGCCCGCTCCTGTCTGCTGCTGCAGCCGGTGCGGCTCCTCCACCTCACCTGCCGGGAGCCGGCCGGTGCCGCCGGTGAGCGGCCGCGGCCGCGCGCCAGCCGTCGCCGGGTGGACATTGTGGCGGGCGCCTCGCTGGCCGGCTGCCTGCTGCTGTTCCTGGCCGCGTTCATCCCGGTGCTGTTTATCGCCAGTGTCATGGCCGGCACGCCGTGCGCCATCCTGCCGTGGCGCCGACTGGTCACCATGGTCTCCATCGTCCTCGGCTCGGGCGGCGCGGCCGTGTTCAGCGCCGTGCTGCTGGTCGTCTTCAGTCGCGACTTCAGACAGGCGTTCGTACGCACGTGCCGCGCGGCGGCCGGTGCGGTCGGTGTCAGTAGTGAGTACGCCACGAGGAACAGCGAGCAGCGGCAGACGGGAAACGATAGCGGGCACCGACAGACGGGGGACGAGAGCAGACACTGACCGATTTAGGACAGCAGCGAACAGCAGCGAGCGACGAGCAACGGCAAGCGACATCGGGTACGGTGGACTTGGGACAACAGCGAACAGTGAGCAAAGGAGCGACGGGAAACGACACCGGACAAAGATCATCGGTGACCAACAACGGTCAACGCAGAGCAACAGCGGAAAATCGTCGAAAGGAAACGACACCAGACAACGGTGAACGAGAAACGACACCGGATATGGCCGACTTAGGATAACGGCGGACGAAGGTCGCGGGAAACCACGGCGAGCCGAAACCCTCGCGGAACAGCAACGAGCACAGATTCCCGGAACACAACAGCAGGGGCAGCAAAAAGCAGAGACGGAGATTGTATTGCCCGATGGGCAGCAATGACACGAATAGTAAGAAGCTTCCAAGTGGGAGGCTGAGGACTAATGTACTTATCAGTGTCAGGCAGTCATTCTGTTCCTAATGCGAGTGCACCGGAGCGATGGCTGCTCGCTATAAACGGTCCCAAATCAGGATATTTGCTGCCGGGTCTACATATTGATGTTGAAAGAAACTGTCGCAGTCTACTTATGCCATGATGGACTACTCCACGTTATAAAGAAGTCAATAGCTATATGAAACATCACTGACTCAATGATGGTCCGGTAGCGTATCGAACACGGCATGCTCAATGGGTTGTTATGTGTTGATTTAATGTGTACCACAGATAATGGTAAAAAATCAATTGTCTGTCGCTCTTGCTGTCTCGAATCAAGGTGTCTCGAATCTTTGCTAACACTATTCCCATGTGTACGGATACGTGTTCTTGTTTGCGATCGCTGTTTAAATAAAATTGTGAGACAGATATAAAAATACTCATGTGACTCAGTACAAAGCTAACCGCACATTGTTCGTTGGGAGCGCCGGACGCTGTGGATGGCACAAGGACGCTTCGATGGCGAGAGCATCATCCGCCTATTTGTAGAGATATTAGGTGTGATCAACCAGCCAATTAAAGCAGCCCAACTAGGCCGATCGATTACACTAATTGCCTACGAATACCACGTGTCTCAGGTTTCTGAGTAGTCAGTCAAAGCGTCACAAATCGCGTGGTAGCTATCAGCAACACATGCTCAATGGGTTGTGATACGATGATTTGATGATATATCGTTCAAAATAAACGAATTGTGTGTCACTCTTGTTCATATATCGTAAGAGGTTGAGCCATGGAAAAACTGTATTATTAAATAGGACACGAAACTAACTTATAATAAGCAAAACAAATATTACTACCATAAATTGAATTTCCTGTCAAAGGTGGAAATAAATTAGCATGTAACCATTTCAACGATGCACAGGGATTGTCTTGTCTGTCTCATCCGATACTACTTCGGACCAGCGAATTTGTCAAAATTTGCCTTGCAGTGCGGACTCATCATCTGCTGGCCACTCGCCAGGCAATCTGTGCGAATAATGCTATTTTTTCAGAAAGTAATGCGCTGCATTTGAGGGAATTGGAAACTAGTCGCTGGACTGCGGCTACGGACCACTGGAGTCCCTGTAAGTCCGCTGGCATGAGTCTGCAGAGTTGAGGTGGAATGGGATCGGGATTTTCAGCCGCCTCATCATCTACCGCGCCTGATTTTGGCATCAACAAAAACACCCTAGCACAACGTTACGGGCCAAGGCCCACTGGAGCCTTGACATCGCAGTAAGAATTAAAAAAAAATCATTTGTTATTGATTAACGCTTACAAGGCAATAATTGTGTTCAATTTATTAAAATTACGTGAAATGTATAAGACAAACTCTTCGAAATCAATCCGAAATTGTTACATTACATTCGTAAATAAGAACATCTATATACCTATACATCGCTTAGAGAATAGTTGAATATCAAACGTTTCATAACCACACTTTTGAAATATTGACGGCATTTTTCTTTATTGACTGATGAGTAAAATTTGTTGGTGTTTCGGAAAAATGATTTATATTTCATCTACATTTTGCCACATCTAATATGCTTCAGAGACGGTTCAAACTATATCCAACGCGTTCACCAATGCATGGAATTTCAAAATAGGACCTTGCCCACAGACAGGTCACTGTTTTATTTTGTTTTTTTTACAAAGTCTTCCGTGAACGCTTCGGCTCCGTATTAGTTTTGAATCACACCGGTAGGCGGCGCTGCGGTCACCTAACCGCTGTGGTCTGTGGTGGCCCGTAACAACAGACCACATACGGGTATATGATAAAAAGGCAGGGGCCATGAGCGGTCCAGAGACAATGCGGAACATCATTTGTAACTGACTCCATTTTACAATTCCATCAGTTTCACTATATTTACCCGTTGACCGGCCTCAACGAGCAGGTGATCTCAGTAAAAGACCTCAGTGACCAGGTGACCCCAGCGACTGACCTCAGAGACCGAGTGACCCCAGTGACTGGTCTCAGTGATCTAATGACCCCGGTGACCAAGGGACTCCAGTGACTGACCTCAGCAAGCAGATGATCTCAGTGATCATATCACCTGTAGCTGATGTGTAGCTGATCTCAGTGATCATATCACCCCCATGACTGACCTCAGTGAAAGAGACCCTGTGATCAGCCCACCGAGTGACCCCTGTGTAACTGACCTCAGCGAGCAGATGACCCGTCGGTACTGCTCCATGTCCTCCGCCAGTCCCCAGAAGTAGGGCAGTGCCTGCAGCACGGCCGGCGGCACCTGCCAGTGGAACGTCTCCTCGTGCAGGCCCCCGCAGCGCTCAAAGTACTCTGCCGCGCGGAGGGCTAGGGTCAGGGAACAGGCCAGGTGGGTACGGTGGGGGAGGTGATGGGCACCGTACAGGCGGATACCGCACAGGTTCGCCGTCGTAGCGAGCTGGGAAAACCGCGCAAATCAGCATAGAAACACAGGCTACGTTCACACAATCAGATTGTCAATCTTATTTAGATAAATCTTCAGCAACGTGCACTGCCCCATGCATACCAGTAAGGCCCCTTTTGGGGGCGACAGACGAGCGAGCGAGATAAAGATCCCTGCATGTGTGCTAGTGGGAGGGGGTACCTACTGTCACCTGTCTTGCGCACGGCACCCTGCTAACCGGTCTATAGCAGTGTGCCAAATTTGGGCGCAATCGGCACAGCCATTCTTGAGATTTAGAAGCGGCAACCTGCACGTGCAAACTGAGCACGTGGAAACTGGGTCCTAATTGGCTTGTATGTGTTCGGAACACGCATTCTCGGGTAAACACCACGGCTCAGTTAACTAATGTATTGATCTGTATACATCGGCTCATTACACGCTAATACCCAGACTGCCCATCAGGCCGGACCTCTTGTCCGCTATCCCATCCCTGAGCTCCTCTTGGCGAGCCAACCGCTCAGCCCGAGCCCCTCTCGCCGAGCAACCCGCTCAGCGACTGCCCGCCGCCGGCGATGCGCCGCATTATATAGGGGGGCTGGGCGCCCGCCGACCAATCAGCGGCCGCCACGTCACCTACGTCATCACCGCCGGCAGAGCTGCAGGTTGCAGCGCCGGCGCACGCTGCCGGCGGCCGATACCAACGGCCGCCGCTCCCCAACACACACCCCCCCTACACAAGAGAGGTGTACGACAGCTGACATTTCACAAGTATGTACAACACTTCGCAACGACCAGTGCACGATACACTACTGCGCCCGCGATTCACGCAGTTCATGGACCCCCGCCTGACACTGTACAGGGGCAGCCGCGCCGCATTCGGTACGGCGCGGGCGGGCCAAGGGCGGTAGGGGGCGGCTCAGGTCCCGCGCCGCGACCTGGGTGATGCCGCGCGCGCACCACGCCCACCACTCGCGGCAAACCGCACATTCGTCCACCATGCGGTGTCAGGTGGTCGTGGTGCCCCATCGTGGTTTTACCGACGCCGTTCCGCACTCGGTAGGTGGCCCCTCTTCCTTCTCTTGTTCCGTGACCCCACGGGCCCTTGTGCCGCAGGCCGAACTTTGGCTGCCCTCCAACTGCCGCTCGGAAGTCGCGCTCGTTACCGGCTTTGCGCTCGAAGGGGCGTGTGGCCGGCTTCTTCTGCATCGGGGCCCCTGGAGGTGGGGTGGGCCTTTCTTCTTGCGCCTTCTGCTTGCCGCTCCACTCCACCGGACTAGCGTCCCCTGCGTCGCCGTCGACACCTGGACGGCTGGTGGTGCGCGCTTCCGCGGGCGACCCGCCCTCGCAGCGGCTCGCGCTCTCCGCCTCCGACCCGTTTGAGGTCACCGTGTCCTCGACGCAGCCGCTGCTGGGCTGCCCGCCCTCGCATTGGCTCGTCCCGGACCCGTCGCGCTCGACCGGGTCCCCGCATGGGGCCACTGGGGCTGGCCAGTGTCGCCACTTGTCGAACCCTGCTGACTTGAGGACGGTCCGAGCGGTACAAGCCACTTGGGCCACCGCCCGCGCGCAAACCTGTGCGCACCGCCTTCCCAGGCCAGTGTTCTCGGCCCCCGACTGCTCGCGATGCCCGCTTCCTTCGAGCGGGGGTTGGGATGTTGGCGGAGCCTCGCTGCCCGCCGGCTCTGACCTTACCGTGCACACGAACGACGGTGTAGGAGGGCACCCTTGCCCCTGTCCTGTCGCGCTACAATCCCTCGATTGTGTGGGCTGCCCTGCCGTAGGGGTCCCGTTGAGGGCAGGTGGGTCAGCCACCCTCCGCTGCCACTCACGGCCGCACCCCGCTGCCGGTGTGTCCCCCCGCTGCCAGTGGCCCGCGTGCGCTGTGGGGCCCTCCATCACCACAGGCATGCCCACAGCCGCAGTCACCGGAGCAGGCGGGCGTCCCGTCCATCGCTGACCCCCACGGCCGCACTGGTGACAGAAAGGCGTCCATCCGCCGGCCTCCTCAGACGGACCACGGGGGCGCTCCGCCCACTCTAGGCCCGCCTGCTGATGACCGCGTGGGAAGGACCGCCCCACCTGCTCGTTTGCGCGTGTGTGCCGCGCCGGACAGTCACGGATCAAGTGGTCAGGGCTGTTACAACGGAAACAGCGGCGCCCGCTACCCCGCCTGTTCGGGTTTGGCGGTCCTCGTTGGGGGTTCCTCGCCCCTGTCCCGTGCCCCGTGCGGTAGGCGTCCCGCCTTCCCGCTGTCTCAAGGGCTTGCAGAGCGCGCTGCAGCTCTCCAATTGTCCTCTCCAGCGCGTCCAGCCGAGCGGTGCCGGGCGCGTCCCGGTCTTGGACCGCCATTGCCTCGCCCCCGGTGGGCGGGCGCATTGCTCGGAGTGCGTCCTGCTGCCTTTCGAATTTATCGGCGGCCTTCACGGCTTCGATGAGGCTGGCCGGGTCTTTCGTCAGGACCCGCACCCGCAGCTGCTCTTCACGGAGGCCGCCCACGAAGCGGCTGACGACGGTCGCTTCCACGGCCGGGTCACCGGCTGCCGCTCCCGGGTACGCCTCACGGCCTGTCTGGCGCACCCTGTCAGCGAAGTCTCGCGTCGCCTCACCGGGCTGCTGCCGGATACTCGCCAGCTCAGCGTGCGCCCGCATCACGCTTTTCGCTGTGCCGAAACGGGCCTCCAGTGCGGCCACAGTTTGCTGGAGGTTGCTCTGGACCTCCTCCGACAGCGAGGCGAAATAGTCCAGGGCGCCATCTTGCAGCAGGCTGACCAGGCCCTGCAGCCGATTCTCTTCGGAGAAAGCGATCGTCTTCGCCCGAAACCGTCGGTACCATCGACCCCATGATTGATTATTTACCCCCGTGAAATTTTCAAAGTTAGCTAAAAGTAAAATTTCTCTTTCCATGTTACGTTACTCTACTGAGCCGATTCAAAATAAAATAGAAATAAAAAATTTACTTTAAATGGTGCAACCCAACGAATGCGTGTCCGCTAGTGTCCGAACCGTCCTACCGACCGCGCCAGTTGTTCGGAACACGCATTCTCGGGTAAACACCACGGCTCAGTTAACTAATGTATTGATCTATATACATCGGCTCATTACACGCTAATACCCAGACTGCCCATCAGGCCGGACCTCTTGTCCGCTATCCCATCCCTGAGCTCCTCTTGGCGAGCCAACCGCTCAGCCCCGAGCCCAGGGGGATGTCACTACTTTGCTTCGCCATAGGTCCAGTACTGATGTCGTCGGTTTCGATCCCGGTGACGTCAGTGCTGTCTTCATCCGGGAACTTATTGCACTTGGTTCTCATTAGAGGTGGCCATATTGTTTTGTCTCGTGACGACACATTTGCGTCATCGGGATCGAAACTGGCTGTAAACAAATCGCTCAGTGTCGCTACCTACTATATATGGCCTTGCCCGAGCCCCTCTCGCCGAGCAACCCGCTCAGCGACTGCCCGCCGCCGGCGATGCGCCGCACTATATAGGGGGGCTGGGCGCCCGCCGACCAATCAGCGGCCGCCACGTCACCTACGTCATCACCGCCGGCAGAGCTGCAGGTTGCAGCGCCGGCGCACGCTGCCGGCGGCCGATACCAACGGCCGCCGCTCCCCAACATATGGCACCCTACTCACCGGAAGTTCTATGGCCTGGCACCGGTCCCTAAACGTGAACTGATCGCAATCGGCCCAACCACTATGGAAGTGACCCCTGCATCAGCACGCGCGTGCAGTAGCACGGTAGCACCTCAACTGTGACACATGGAAATGCATAACCCAGTGCAGTGGGTGCGTACCAGAGCACTAAAGGGCGCGTACCTACATGCTCATTTTTAGCGCAATCGGACCAGTAACGACCGAATCATCGTAATTGTTACAAAACAGACACCCCTTCGGTTTGCACCTGGCACGTGCTGCATAACGGGTCACCCACATGCATCGGGAATAGTCCAATACCTGGTAGGAGGAATGAAGCTACCCAAAAAAAAGATACCGCAAGTAAATCGGTCAAGCAGTTGCGGAGATTTCAGCCTCGCAAAAGCGTCCCCACGTCCAGCTGCCGGCTGGCCGCTCATGCTCAGAAATTTCTGCTATTCTACGTAAGAGCAGGAGCAATAAAAAGAAATGTAATAAGTAGTAATGTAATGTAATGCAAATGTAAATGCAGCCGTAACAGTATGAGTAGCCGTCCGGCCGCTCATACAAAAAATCTCTGCTTTTCTACGTAAAACTTCGCTCGCTCGTGATAGCCCTCGCCTATACCACCCTCTCTCCTCCTCTGCGTCTCTCTCTCTCTCTCTCTCTCTCTCTCTCTCTCTCTCTCTCTCTCTCTCTCTCTCCCTCTCCCTCTCCCTCTCCCTCTCCCTCTCTCTCACTCACTCACTCACTCACTCACTCACTCACTCACTCACTCACTCACTCACTCACTCACGCACTCACTCACTCACTCACTCACTCACTCACTCACTCACTCACTCACTCACTCACTCACTCACTCACTCACTCACTCACTCACTCACTCACTACTTACTTACTTACTTACTTACTTACTTACTCACTCACTCACTCACCAACTCTCTCTCTCTCTCTCTCTCTCTCTCTCTCTCTCTCTCTCTCTCTCTCTCTCTCTCTCTCTCTCTCTCTCTCTCTCTCTCTCTCTCTCTCCGTCCCTGCTCTCACCGGCCAGTGACCGGGCCAGTTGTTTGACGGCGGCCGGTCCCTGAGGTCCGGCCAGGTACCGGGCGCGAATGGTGCGGCCCATCTCTGCGTGCGTCAGTCGCAGCAGCGCCGGCTGGCCGGGCGCCGAGCACCGCTGCAGCAGGCACTCGCCCGACCTGGGGACAGGGCAGGGACAGGTGTGTCACACTCGCCCGACCTGGGGACAGGGCAGGGACAGGTGTGTCACACTCGCCAGACCTGGGGACAGGGCAGGGACAGGTGTGTCACACTCGCCCGACCTGGGGACAGGGCAGGGACAGGTGTGTCACACTCGCCAGACCTGGGGACAGGGCAGGGACAGGTGTGTCACACTCGCCCGACCTGGGGATAGGGCACGGTGTGTCACGCTGGCCCGACCTGGGGACAGGGCAGGGTAGACGTCAAATGTCATGCTGACCTGACCTGGGGTCACAGCGCAGTTAGAGCGCGATAAATCTGGGGACAGGGCACGGTTAGAACGAGCCGCACTGGCCTGTACTAGGAAAGGGCACGTCTCCAGGGTTAGAGCATCTCACACTTATCCGAATTAGGATAAGGCACGGTTACGGCGTGGCAAAAATCACCTCATCTGGGATAGGGCACAGTTAGAACATGCCATACTCGCCCCACATCGTGGCACGATGTCACGGTCCAGATAACATGCAGTCACGCAACGACAGACGCTTGTGAAAAGCGTTAGACCGCTGAACATTGAGATGTCTCAATACGAGTATGTCACTAATGTGGGGTATTTTGGAATAAACCTATAGCAACCTAAGCCGCCTGTCGCCGATTGCTCGTGCCAGGATCAGTCAGCTCCGGTTGCGGTCGGTAGCGACCAGGTAGGTATTAGCGTCGCAAACACGTCATCCGCGGTCAGATACATCACGAGAAACGTCAGCAGAATGTGCCCGTAGATACGGACATCATCTCCACACGTTTAATGTGAGACTGACTCCGTCCAGGGGTACAGTTAGCAACTCGTGTGTGGGACGAAACGGTGCTTCCAGCATCAGCACTAAGTGATTGCCCATATATAGCCATCAAATATTGGCTGGCACAAGAAAGTTCCAAACCCGTTATACCAGCATCCATTTCGAGTTCATCTACCTTTGACTTTTCCTCGTGAAACATATCACGACGAATAAAGTCGCATTTCCAGGACACTGACACGGCCCGTTTGCATTTCATCGTCAGCCTTAACCATGGAGACCGGCGGAAAACAGACTGATCTGTCGAACTGATCTCCGGGTAATGATGGGATTCGCTGAGACGCTGCGCCGCATCCCCCTGCCATCCACGGAGCATCATCGGCGGGCCACACAGTCGGCCAGTAACGAGCCGAGCGGGCCGGTCGCCGGACACGCGGTTCAGCCGAGCGGAAAGACGTCTCTGAAAGGAGCGGACGGCAGTGAGAGAAGCGCCCCTCTGCTGACAGACGGCAGAGCCGACGGACAGACAGCTGAAAGAAGCGTTCCTCCGCTGCCAGAGAGCGGAGCGGACAGACAGCTCTGAGCGGAGCGGGCGGCAGTAAGAGGGGCGTCCCTCCGTCTTCGGATAGACAGCGGAGCGGACGGATAGATAGACAGCTGAGAGAAGCGTCCCTTTGTCATCGGACACCCAGAGGAGCGGACAGAGAGACAGCTGAAAGGAGCGTCCCTCCACTGTCAGACATCAAGAGGGGCGGACAGATGGGCAGCTAAAAGGAGCGACCCTCTGCTGTCAGACAGCCAAACGGTGGACAGACGGAGCATACGGACAGACAGCTGAAAGGAGTTCTCCACCACCATGGACAGCTAAAGAAGCGGACAGCCAGTTCTGCGGAGTCAGTAGACAGCGGAACTGATAGAGAAGTTCCTAGAAGTCAGGGGATCTGATAACACATCGGACAGAGAAGAGGAGTCGTCAAACAGCTGAGTGGAGACTGGAGAGGGCAGCCAAACCCATCCCTCGACCATCGCAATGGCCGACACCACTTGGGATCGAGCCGCCACGGAGTTCAGATCCAGCGACAGTGACGAGTGTCCGGCACAAGCGTGGCATTCCTGCAATGGACCGAGACCGGCCGGAGGCGCCAACATCACCTCCTGCGCGGACGCGACGGCCGGCGAGTTGGCCGTCTCGCTACGAACCGTCGGCGCACTGATGGCCTCCCTGACCGTCGCCGTCAACCTGACGCTGCTGCTGACCATCCGTACCAGCAGCAAGCTGCACAACATCGTCAACGTGCTGATGGCGCTCATCTGCACCGGCAACCTGGTCTGGTGCATGACGCCGGCGCTGGCGCTGCTGCAGCTGCGCGCCGCGCTCTCGGCGGCCGCGCCGCGCCTCTGCCTCGCGCGGCTGGCGCTGCAGGAGACGCTGACGGCCGCCAGGTTCGGTCTGCTCGTCACCGTCACCGTCATCCGCTACCTGATCGTTGTGCGAAACCGCAGTTTCCGTCTGACGGCGCGCGCGGTGTTGCGGTTCGCGGGTCCTCCGCTGGCGGCGGCTCTGCTGCGCGGCCTGGTGACGGTGGACAGTGGCTGGCAGCGGTGCCGGCCGCCGCTGGCCGTCACAGGAGCCGGCCTGCCGGTGGGAGCCGTGCCGCCGCTGACCGGCCTCGCGCCCACCCTCCTGCTGGCCGCAGAGTACTCTGTCGGCCTGGTGCTGCAGACTTTCTGCTACGTCGGGATCTACACGGAGACAGTGCGTGCGCGGCGCCGCGTCAACCGCGCCCAGCTGCCGATGCGCTGGACCTCGCAGCGGCGCCGGCGCGGCTCGCGGCGCAGCGTGCGTGCCGCGTCTGTGTCCGGTGCGGCGGCCAGCCCGGTGCCGCCGGCGGCTCGCGTTCTGCCGCGCCGCGTGCAGTCCCTCCCGCGCTCCGTCCGCCCAATTCCTCACCCGGAGAGAAGTGCTGCTCCGCTGCGAACGCTGGACCCGCGCGAGCTGGAGCCGCCGGCGGGCGCGGCGCCGTGGCGCAGCTCACCGCTGCTGCAGCTGCCAGCCCACCCAGCGCTGGCTGCGCCCGACGACGTGGAGGATCTAACCGAGACCGATTACCCGCTGGACAGTCTGGGCGCCGGCTGGCTGGAGGAGTGGGTCGAGTTAACCGGAGCGACCCGTCTCGGCGCCACCCTCTCACCGCTGCTGGAGCGGGCTAGCACCGAGCAAACGGTCGCCGGCGCCACGGCCATCCTGATGGTACCGTCACCGAGCGGAGAGCAGCCGGCACTGGAGGCCATCTGTCGCACACCGTCCACCGCCGGCGAACCGTCCCCGCCGAGTCTCGGACCCAGCCGCGGGCCCAGCAGAGGCCCGAGCAGGGGGCCCAGCAGAGGGCCCAGTCGGTGCTCCAGCCGGGCGCCCAGCCGCAGCACCATTCGCGGGCCCAGCCGGGGGCCGACGCTCGCCTCGTCCGGCGGCACGTCCCGCCAGGCGTCCGTCAACTCTGGCGACACACAGTACTCGGTGTCCCGCGAGCCGCTGCGCCTGGAGCGGGCGCCGCCGCCGGGCCGCTGCGACACGGCCATGGCGGCCGCCACCGCTGCCATGCTCGTCATGTTCGTGCTCTCGTGCGCGCCGTCACTGGTAGGTGAACTGGCGGCCTGGCGGCGACCCTCCTGTCCCGTGCCGCCAGCCGAGTGGCTGAGAGCCCAGATAGCCTATACGGCCGTGGACGGCACGAACGCAGTGCTCATACCGCTGTTGTTTGTCATTTTCAGCCGGGATTTTCGTCAACAGCTGACGAGCGCCTGCCTCTGGGCGGCTCAGGCGGCTGTCATCTCGCCAATCACCGCCTGCAAACGACGCTGCCAGGGCGGAGAATAGCGACCCAGAAATACCGAGGCTCCTCCGGAAAAAGCTGTTTCGGACACACAACGAATCTTAGTTCGACATTGCGACTAGCACGTCCATATCGTTGGACGAAAAATGCATGATATTTTTGTTGAAAATATACGCAAGTAAGGACATGCGTTGTGGTTTGAGGTGAGCAGTATTTCATAAATGGTTCACTCTAAGTGATCAACGTCCGAGGCACGTCCGCATTTGCACTAATATTTGTTGTATTAAAATGTATAGCTCACAACTTCGTCTTACGTCCACACCAATCCACAATTTTTGCACAGCTCAGAACAAATCTACTGAGAAAAATAGCACACGAGTGGGAGCGGGACTAGCATACGAATGGGATGAAAGCATGAACATATTATTGACAACATTCGTCGTGAGATACACGTAAACATGAAGGAATGCAGACTCCATCCCTTGTTCTGGTGAGGTCTGTGGCCCCACCTCACTTGACGGAGCGCCAAATCGAATTTCACTAGCTCACCTGATGAGGCTCGAGAAGGTAAACTGCGTCAGGTTTCGGTAGTCCTGTTTCAGGAATTCAAATAGATCGTCCTCTGCCAGACCTGTGAAGACATGAGGGGGAGGGAGACAGGCGCGTCAGAGGAATTGGCGAGGGCGACACTCATTATGAACTCATGAGGGTGATCAGAGACCACTGACTCTCGATTGGCAAAGCTGCGCAAAACGCAGTCTTCCTCTAGATAGCTGCTTCGAAGGATACCTAAACAGGAATTCATTAGAGATGCCCTGTTGCTCCACATTCAGAAACGGGAAATGTGAGTCCAGAATCGTCTCAGCGCCAAGGCTAATAACACAAACGGTTACTGAGCACTCGATTTAATAACAACAATGCTTCAGCCATCACAGCATAAATTCCACCTTTTCACGATTCAGCTCTCAAAATCCATCAAAGTTGAGAGCCTGCTTGCGCACATGAAATGGCTTCAAAACCCATTAGCAAAGCCGGTGCTCAGAAACTATAAGCGAGGCAACTAACCAAAGTGCTTTGAATGCCAAGAGCATGAAGAAGTTTGTCCCGACGACAGACTGCTCCAGAGGCGAATTGCACCAAGATTGTTTCGTAGAGCTCAATAGTCAACGCTCGATTACGGTAGTTCAATTTTGTTAGGGTAATTTGAAGGATGAATGGCATTAGAAATAACGTAAATTGGTGCGAGGAACTAATGGGATGCAAGTCCGGTTGCGTTCTGGGATGGGATACAAGTCCGTGTAAGCCCGATCGCGATACCCATTGCTAAACTTACATAACAATAATATTTTCATTGAGTTCAATAAAGTTGTACGTCAATGTCACTTTTCCGTGCTTGATTTCACCAATATGATATCTCAACGCACGGGTGTTTTTTTTTGGGGGGGGGGGGAGGGGAGGTAAAATTAGAAGTGGAAAGCTGTTCTGGAAGAGAAGTGAGTGGATATTTTCATTTGAATGTTGTTCCGCACCCAAATCGAGAAATGTCGGGACAGTGTACACAATATAACATATGCTTTTCTCAAAACCGGTCTGCGACAAATCTATAGACATTCAAACCGATTAACCGTTCCCGATTCCAGCTTTCTCCGAGGGCAGCGATACTGACCCTGGGCCGAACGGTACTGACCCTGGGCGGACAATAGAGATGGTACTGACCCTGGGCGGACAATAGAGATGGTACTGACCCTAGGCGGGATGGTACTAACCCTAGGCGGGATGGTACTGACCCTGGGCGGAGATGGTGACGGCACACAGCACCTGTCGCACCATGCCGGCGTCAAACGTCTCCTCCAGCCGGCTGATGATGTCCTGGATCAGCGCTGACACCGTCTGTCCCAGCGAGGACAGCTTCACACTCAGCTGGAGGACACGGCAGACACGGGGGAGGGATGTCAGCGGTGGCGACGGCAGTCAACGCTCACTGCAGCGCTGCCTTTGCAACATCAACCAATTATACGCAACATAGGTAGACCAGAAGCGCAATAGATCAACCACCACATCAAAAGTCGATCATGTTCCACAGTCGACACTTGGCAGAGTTGTGCGGTCTTTCGCGGTGAAGGCGCAAGAAATGATAAGTACCGGAGGGGTGTAAAGACCCTTTGCTATCGCCATCCTCAGCAAGGACCTCATACCCCACACAGACACCTGCCGTTCCTAACGGACCCCTCAAGTCTTCTGAATACTCCCTCCCGTACTCTACGATCTCTCCCCTCCCTCACAGTTCACGTCTCGTCTTCGATAATATTTCCTGTCTCCCTACCGACTCCCGCCCTCCGGTCACCTGTTCGAAGACGCCGAATGTCCTCAGCTCCTCGCAGGCCAGCTGCAGGTACAGCGGGTCACCCGCGCCGCGTTTGGAGGTCAGCGTTCGCAGCTGGTTGTTCCACGCCTTCTCCTCCAGTGTTTTGCTGTGGTGGTGGAGCAGCTCTCGCACCAGGCCGGAGCGCTCAGAGAGGTCCAGAGGGCCTGCCGGGACACAAACGAGTTGATAAGGATTACAGACGGGTCAGTACGGGACAGAGCCGGGTCCGTAAGGGACACAGGCGGGTCAGTACGGGTCACAGACGGGTCAGTATGTGACACCTAAGGGACAGTAAGGGAGACAGGCGGGTCAGTACGGGTCACAGACGGGTCAGTATGTGACACCTAAGGGACAGTAAGGGAGACAGGCGGGTCAGTACGGGTCACAGACGGGTCAGTATGTGACACCTAAGGGACAGTAAGGGAGACAGGCGGGTCAGTACGGGTCACAGACGGGTCAGTATGTGACACATAAGGGACAGTAAGGGAGACAGACGGGTCAGTACGGGTCACAGACGGGTCAGTATGTGACACCTAAGGGACAGTAAGGGAGACAGGCGGGTCAGTACGGGTCACAGACGGGTCAGTATGTGACACCTAAGGGACAGTAAGGGAGACAGGCGGGTCAGTACGGGTCACAGACGGGTCAGTATGTGACACATAAGGGACAGTAAGGGAGACAGGCGGGTCAGTACGGGTCACAGACGGGTCAGTATGTGACACATAAGGGACAGTAAGGGAGACAGACGGGTCAGAATGGCAGCTAGACGGGTCAGTAGGAGACACATACGGGTCTGCAGTCTGTACAGGACACAGGCGGGTCGATACGGAACAAAGACGGGTCAGTGCGGGACACAGACGGATCGGCACGGCACCGTGGCACACAGGAGGCTCACCACAAAACAAGGGTGGATTGTGACAGAAGTAGGTTTTCGATGTGTAGTGCAATAGTTTGCAATACTTGGGGTAGCCTAATGGCAAACCACACACAGTGCACTCGATAGAAAGGAAATTAATGAGCAGGGAAGGATGACGAAAATAATAACGCGGTGCTTTACTGATAGGAGCGAGATAGGCATATTTATGAATAGCCCAAAACACGTGAACACTGAATAGGCTTGGGATAGTGACGACACAGATCTATGTTCTATGCACTAAAAAAGCTAGGTTATGAAGTTGCGCGCTGTCTGTTCCACGACAACGATCCGCAATCGCGGCA